CAACAGAGCTAGATCTCAAAGGATGAGTGTGCTTTTGGCATGAAAAATGTGAAAATTTGGGGGAAAATGCTTGGAAGCGATGGATAAAGGCGATACATTAAAAACATACAGTGGACTGACTGGACACATGTTTTGTATAGTTGAGGTTCTGAGTTCAATCCCCAAGGCCTTCAGCTTTGCTACGTGTGGGCCCTGATAATCCATAGCACAGTTGGACACAAGCAGCATCTCACTGCTAGACCACAGCATTGAGTTGTATAGCCAGGTCAGCTGAGAATTACCAGAAGTGATGTGCCCAGGGAGAACTGTTTGGGAGGCTCCCTTCCCCACATCCCACACCCAGAAGACTACACTGTATTTTCAAGTCACATTATTGTTTCAACGTACGGACTTCACCTACTCTTTTCTTTACACATCAAACTTAGCAAGCTTTCCAAAAGTCCTTTCCAAAAAAGCATTCAATTTTCCAGTAGAGTTGCAAACTGATTTACTGCAATACAATATCTGGACATACTTAATGTTTATGTCACTAATTTTTTCCAGATCTTATGATTTTCACCAGGGGTCTTACATGTTACATAATGACAAGCAATCAATTAGCAAGCTCCCAATCTTGCTGCTTTTACTCTAGAAGGATAATCTGTCCTTTTCTCTTCTGAATCTCATCTCTTCAACTGTACTCCCTTCTGCTTCTTTTTGGGCTCATTTTTTGGTGTCCTTTTGTTTTGGGGTCATCCCACCCAGTGCTCAGGGCTTACTTCTGGTTCTGCACTCCTGGTGGGACTTGGGGTCCATATGGGATGCCAGGAATTGAACCTACATTGGTCACATGCAAGGCAAGTACCCTATCCTTTGTACTATCTCTCTGGTCTGTGGACTCAACTGTTTTCTACTGATTTGTTGTAATGTTTCTCTTGGTTTTTCCTGTATGCCTACCTCTGCCCAAAACAGTTTTAAATAATTATTTTATTAGTAGAAATTTTTTAAAAAACAATTTATAAATTATGAGTGATGTTAAGAAATGTGCTCCAGGGTTGTATACAACTCAGTGACAGACCACCTCCTTTGCAGCTATGAAGCCATAGTTTAATCTCTGACCCACAGCACTTTTTGCCAGTATTATTGATTTGGGATACCGTATAGCAGTGTTTCCCAAAGTGGGTTGCCCTAGGTGGGCTGCTGAAATGATCCAGGGGTGGTAATAGTTGTTCAGTGGGAGTACTGTTTATTCACTTAAAGAAGAGAGTTTCCAGGGAGAGAGCGATAGCACAGCGGTAGGGCGTTTGCCTTGCATGCAGCCAACATGGCCAACCCGAGTTCGATTCCTCCGCCCCTCTCGGAGAGCCCGGCAAGCTACCGAGAGTATCTCGCCCACACGGTAGAGCCTGGCAAGCCACCCGTGATGTATTCGATATGCCAAACACAGTAACAACAATAGTCTCCAATGGAGACGTTACTGGGCCCGCTCGAGCAAAAAGGTGGCAGTAGGCTAAATAATTAGTTTCCTCTATAGCATGGTTTTCATTCCTTTTTTACACTTGTGGGCCAATGAAACTGCCACTGTACATCTGAAAGGTTCTGCAAAATAACAGATACCACACAAATTATATTATGATCTCTAAAGCTTCTTCCCATGCTCTTATCTTATTTTAAACTAGGATATTTATCACACTTTGGGGGCAGTTTTCTAATCCTCTCTCCCTTTTCCTCTTTGTATAGTTGTTGTCATGATGTCCAAGGTTACACTTATCATGGTACCAGGGATCAGAATGGTGATGCTGGTGGAAGTGTAAAATTATGTAGCTGTTGTGGAAAACATTATTAAAGTGTACTGGTCCAGCAGCAAACTAAATGAATTAACTTCTTTTGTGTGTGGGGGGGGAGGGGCGGGAAGGGGGGCACACCCTGCTGTGCTCAGGGTTTATTCCATGCTGTATTCAGAGATCTCTCCTGGTAGATTTTGACATGTGGTGCCGGGGATCTAACCCAGGTTGACAGTATGGAATGCAACCATCTCCAGCACCATATACCTGAAAGAAGTAAAAGCAAGTATTTGAACTGATATGTGCACACCAATGTTCACAATGGCGAAAGGTGAAAACAACCCAAATATTTATCTACAAGTGATCAAATAAGATGTAACATATGATCATGCAGTGCTCAATGGTAAGGGTAAGTTCTGAGAAATGTGCTATTAGATGATACCACTGTGCAAACTTCATAAAGTATAATTCCTTAGATAATGTGGATTAATATACACCATGGCTACAGAGATACTATAGCGTAAGCAGCCCAATGTTGGCCAAAACATCACTAAGCAACTAACTGAAAGAAATAAAATTCTGATTTACCCACAGCATGGATCAATCTTTAAGCTAAGTGAACTAAAACTGATATCAAAGAACAAATGTTGTATAATTCCACTTATATAAGTATCTACAACAGTCAAACATAAGACACAGAAAGTAAAAATATAATTATCAGGGGGCAAAGAGTGAAGGGGTGGAGCATTATTATGAAATGATAGGGGTTTCAGTTGGAATAATAAAAAGGTTCTAGAAATAGATAAATGATTTGCCTAGAGTCACATATTTTGTTTCACTAATATCAATTTCCAAAAATAATGTCTGGGATTAACAGTAGTCCCAACCAAGATAAGACTATGATAAGTATGGCAAAGATCAACCAATAGTGTGCTAGTCACCCATGATACTGGTCTTATAACAAATTATGTATAGCATGGGAACAAAAAGGTAACAAAACCAAAGGACATCCTAATTATCCATTGTTAAGAATGGTTAACACAAACTCCTCAGAAATAAAGTGTTATAATATCAATGAAAACAAAGGACAAAGACCAAGAGTTTGAGGTATGTCCAATATGTGTCTGCTACCCTACTCTTTACAGCCAGTTACTAGTGACTCTGTGAGACATCTGAATCTGAAAAAGCAGCTTTTTCTACTAAATAGAGCTCATATTCATCACAAGAAAACATCTACAAATAATTCTTTATTAAATTCAAACAGAAGGGAGCAGCAGTCCAAATAACATAAAATGTCTAATCCAAAACATCATGTATTAAGCTCTGTAGACGTTTTTCCCCCCTTACTTACTTGGATAAATCTGGTTTCTGGGAAATTCATAACTCAAAAAGCAAAATAACAGAGACAATCTTTGAAGGTCAGACACAAGAGCTAAAGTCTCTATTTTGCCCTGCCCCCAGTGGACTTCCTCCTCAATTCTGCTGTCAAAGGATAGCACCACCACCGCTTGCAAAGAATGCCCTGCTCACCACCTACAGCAGCTGAAATTCTACCCATCCTTAAAGGTTCCACTTAAAAGCACTGCAGCTTTCTTGAGCCCCCTCCCCCAAATCAGAACCAATCTCCTCGTAAAGCCTCTATTTTGCACCTCGATTTCAACAATTTTTATGATGTAATGCTTTGCATTACAATGATCTACCTCCACTTCTTCCCCCACCTTTCCCCAGGAAAATTCCAAGAGCAGTAAAGAAGGGAAAGAACTAACATTTGTTAGGTTCACGGCAATCTGCATACATTATCTCCATTTAATAGGTGTGACAACCATTTGGGGAGGCAAGTGGTGAAGTTCGATGCCATTCTACTGATAGAGAAGACACTGCTGAGAGTTCCAACAGCTTATCCAATGGCACACTGCTAGTCAATTCCATTGATGATGGAACCGCTTGATTTCCCTGGACCTGCATCACTCCACCCCAAGGGCTTGCAGGGTTCCCCCCCACCCCACACACACATTTGGTGCCGCCCCACCCCTACCCCCGAGCCCGAGAGAGAAAGCAGGTATTCCATAACTGTTTGCCGAATGTAATTTCCTCAGAACTCGGCACCACCCTTTTAATAACCCGATCACGCCCCACCCCTACCAGGTTACTGTTGCTTTACAGCGTACTTTACTCCGGCAGCTCTAAGCCTCTCGAAGAGAAATGCTGCGCACAGGATCAACCTTTACTGGGCGGTTAAGGTTAAAACCTTCCTCCCAGATTTTTCCAACAGCCCTTCCCGCAGAATATTAAGAAATGTTCTTAACATACGCGCGCGCGCGCATACACACGCGCACACACACACACACACACACACACACACACACACATTTGCTGTAAAGGCTGCTGCCCTTCCAAAAAGCTTTCATACAGACTTAGCCACGTCTTCGTGCTTCAAAGCAACGCGGCTCGCGTGGTGTGCAGCTCACACCGTGGGGACAGACGAAAAGACACCATCTGCACCAGAAACCCACATCTTCCCACCCAGTCTTAAGCACCGAAGGCATCCTGATTTTTTTTTTTTTATAAACTCGTTCACTGCCTCCTCGGGCTTCCCCCTCCACGAGCTGCGATTTGGATTTCCGGCGGGAATGCACACCGACACCCGGCTGCAAAGCCAACGGCGCGATTACTTCGCCGGCTTAATTGGAAAGAAGACACACAGACACACACAGGTGCCCCGCCTTTCTCAAGCTCGGTACTGAACTCATTTATGAAGGGCGGGCAGGGGGACGCACAGACACCCGAGGAAGCCCGGACGTCGGGATCGCTGCTCCCAGCGGCGAGGAGGGGACAGTCCGCTCCTCTCCGCAGCGCCCGGCCACCACCGGTCCCCGGAGCCGGCCAGGACAATCCCTACCGCACCCTCCCCCGGGCGGCCCTGGCGCTCATTGTCTCCCTCCGTCGCGGCGCCGCCGGGGGTGGGGTTGGGGGGTGGAGGGCTGTCGGGTGCAGCCCCGGCCCCGCCGACCCCCCGCACCGCCCCCGCCACCCCCACCCCGGCCGCCGGTCACTCCGCGGGGCGACGAGCCTGCAGCCCCGCAGCGCGGGCCCCGGCAGCGACCCCGCCCCAAGCTCGGCCGCCCGCACGCCCCGCGCCAGCATGGAGGGGCCGCGCGTCGGGAAAATGGAGGCGGGAGCGGCGGCAGCGCCCTCTCGCCCCGCGCCCGGCCCCGGGGGGCGAGGCTGAACACTCACCGCGGCAGCCGCTCGCCCCTGGGGCGGCCCGACTAACCCGAGCGGCCGCTCGCGCTTCTCCAGCCGCTGCCGCCGCCGCCGACTCGGCTCCGGGCGCGCCGCTCCTTCCCCGGAGACCCCGCGAGCGCCCGCAGCTCCCGCGCCGCGCGCTCCGTGGCTGCCTGGCTGCCTGGCTGGCTGGCTGGCTGGCTGGCTGGCTGACTGACCGACCGGCCGACCGACCGACCGGGCGTTGGCGGGGGGCGGGGGGCGGGAGCGCGCGGCGGGCGGGGCGGCCGCAGCGCCCAGCGGCGGCGGATCCGAGGTGCGGCCGCGTCCGGCCAAGACGCAGAAGGCGGGGCTGAGAGCCCGGCGACCCGCTGGCAGCCCGGCTCGCGCCCGGCGGCTCGCTCCCCGGCGCCCGCCACCAACCCCTCACTTCCGGCTCAGGCCGCAGCGCCCGCCCCTCCCCGGGCGCCCCCCGGCCGCCCGCGCTCCCGTGCGCGCCCCGCGCCCCCTCCCCTCGGGCGCCAGACCGCACCCAGCGGGGGCTGTCCGCGGGGCCCCGCCTTCCCCTCCCCACCCCCCCACCGCCGCGCGTCCCTGTGAACCGCCTCCAGGAACCAGTGAATCAGAGAATGAATGAGTGAGGAAGGAAAATCCCAAAGCTGTCCCACCCCCTGCTCGCCTTTCCTGGAAGCAGGCCCGGAGACCACAGTGCGAGGGACCCAGAGATGCACACACCGAAGATGCACCTCGATGCTATCTGGGTATTCAAAGGCTCCAGCAGCACATCCTGGGGACTGGAAGGACCCGGTCATGTCCCTGTGGGAGGCTTTTTTTTTTTTATCCCCACCTCAGAAAGAAAATTTCTTTTTGGCCAAAGATTGTCTCTTGCAGTATCGTGCAGCATACGAGAAGCATTTGGAAATTGGACCCTTCCATTATATCGAATTACTTTTTAACTTTGAAATTTACTATCCTGTCATCTTAATTTCTGCCCCTCCCACGTTGAAATTGTTTAGGAGTAAGGTGCTGGCGGTTTTGTTGTTGTTGTTGTTGTTCTTGTTTTTTACCTTATCATCAAACTCTACATTACTCAGATATTGCCTATGTAGATATAGGGCTGACTTAGACTTTTATGTTTTGATTTATATCTTTATTTTGACCTTCTAATGTTGATCCAAAAACAAAAAGTTGAAGAATTTTTTTCTCTGGCCTGGCACATGCAAACAAGTTTGGTTAACTGCATTAAGATAGTTGACAGGGAGTGTGGTCTGGAATTGGTCGGAGTGAACATTCCTTTCCCGTCTTGCTTACTAAGAATACGGGTATCTTGAATCTTCACATGCAATGAAACGACTCTACATTTCTGAGGTCCTGGTTCCCTTTTCCAAGAATCAGACAGTTCATTGCTCTGTCCTGGAGCCAAATCTTGGTTTGGTTAATTGCATTCCTTCTTTCAGATACAGAGGACTTTCAAGTGGTTTTAGTGTTCCTTGTGCAATCTGTTCCAAACTGGCACATAGTCTGTTCCAACCTGGTATTCAGAACCACATAATACAGTTACTAGCAACATTTCACACTTGAGGTATCTATACTTAAGAAACTTGTGTAGAATATCATTTTATTTTGTAATCGAAGATGGTGCTGACCAATTTCATGAAGCCACTGTTTCTTATGGAATTTTTCACACAGTGCCTTCAATTCTGATTATTTCAACATTATGATTTTCCCTAATGAATAAAGTATAACAATTTATTTATTCTTCTATCTTTCATGATATCTAGTATAGTACCTGTACAATATGTTTTAAAATTAATAAATGCACTCATTTTGATAAGTATACAATATACAAATCTCTCTACAGTCTTTCGCCCATTTCCCTTATGACCAGGTTTGTTGAGATTAGAAATAGCTGAGAGCCAAACTTAATACTATTACCACCAAATACTATCACCACCAGCCTGTGTGATACTGCATATGGAAGATAACTTATCAAAACCTCCTTTAAAAAATAGGTCATTGACAATTAGTTTCAAATAGTTCTTAGCTAATTCTCTCCTCCCAGTGTTTATGTTGATCAAGGCAAATTAGAGAAGGAAACAAGTGTTTGTAAATACTGAGAAAAGTAAGCAGGTTTTCATTAGTTCCTTTAAATGTGAAATCATCTATTCCACAGTAGTCTATTGAGTTTCAGGTAATACAGTAGACTACAGTGACAAGGAAGTCATGACCATATGGTTCTTCCCCTTGGGAAAAAAAAAGCACAGTCAAGTAGCTAAAGGAGGCAAGGAAACCATTATTGGAATGCAGAGTCCATTTCTAGGTAGATTAAGGAAAGCTTCACAGTGGAACGCATTCTTAAACTGTGTGTTTAGTGATTTGGTGACAGGGAGGAGCTAATCAGATGAAGAAAAGGAGAATAGATATTCTACACAAAAGCAACAATACCTGTGTAGGTATGAAAGCAACAAACAGGTGGTTTAGAGGTTCTGTAAACAGCTAAATTTTGTCAGTACAGATAGAAGGAACAGAGAGTGTGTTGGGGAAAGGTAGAAGTGTATAATAACAAAGGACTTGTGTTAAACCTAAATTTCATACTCTGAACACTGTAATAGTAAAATCCCTGTAGTATTTCAAGACCCAGAGCAACTAGGTTTATAGATCAGAGAGAGGCAGACTGAGGCAGGAGAAAATTAAGCAACAACAGAATGGATGGATGGATGGATGGTCCTTCTGTTGTTCATTGATTTTTGCTCTAGCGGGCCCAGTAATGTCCCATTTTGAGACTTCTTGTTACTGTGTTTGGCATATTGAATACACCAGGGATAGCTTGCCAGGCTTTGCCGTGTGGGCGAGATACTCTCAGTAGCTTGCTGGGCTCTCTGAGAGGGGTGGAGGAATCGAACCTGGCTCGACCAGGCTGACTGCACGCAAGGCAAACAAACACCCTACTGCTGTGCTATAGCTCCAGCCCAACAACAGAATAACCCCGATGAAATATGGTACAGGTTCCCATAAAATCAGGGCAGTAAAATGAGGAATAGAAATTGGTGGAAAAGACATAAAGGAGATGGAAATTCTAGGATATGATATGATTATGTATATGATGAGTATGAAGAAGTGAATAAGAGAAAGACCTAGGTTGGTCCTCACATTTCTGGCTTGGGAAATGGATTGAACAGAGGTAACCTGCTTGGAAATAGAGATTCCAGGAGGAGCAATTTTCACAGGTCTGCTGATTACCTGAATGAATAAGATTAGTAGATTAGTACCAAGCAGCTCAAGGGGTCTCAGTCAATCATTCCCCAGTCAGTTTCAAATTTTAAATTATATGTAATGAACTAAAAGAGAAATATGAATTAAAGCTCAGTGAGTTTATAAACCAGAGCTATTTAGTGTTTTTAATGTATTTTCTGATATGCACTGTGAATTTCTAAAGGGTAGATATTACATACAACATTTCCCAGATGCATTTGACTATAGTGTTTGTTTTTTTTTTCCCCAGAAGAACATCTCATAAGATATACGTAGCCTACACTTTGGGACAAAATTTTGGTTTATAGTGAAAACCATTACATCAAGAGAATACGATCCATATCTTCTGATCCCATTTATGTGCTCTCTTTACTCCATAATGCTTTATGAGGTACATACTTTCCAGAATCTTCCAGTAAATCCCAGGTAGAAAATATTATTTTTAAATTCTGGTATATAATCTTTTAGATGAGATTCAAATCAGTAGTTATAAAGCTATGCTAATTTTAAACAATTACTACTTTATAGAAGGTAAAAAGATTTTATATTGGAACGTGGGCCAATTATTAACTTAGCATGATCTTTGATAATTGAGCTGCAGTCTTGTAAAATTAAATCACCTAGCAAAATAGGACATCCAATTAGGTGTGTTAGTCTGAAGTTAGCTTTAAATTAAACAAACCTTCGGAAATGAATAAAGAGTTTAAATATCTCCCCAGAAAATTTTAGTGATGTCCTTTCCTCCCTCAAACTGAAGAAAAGGACAGATTTTAAAATGTGCTGAGGCTATGATAATCCATATCAGGTCTTGGCTTCTCTGGCACAGTTCCCTTGATTCTGAGGACTAATAGCTAATATATGAGAAGGTTTTCATAGCCTAAATTCATAGTTCTATTCCCTAGAGAAGAAGTTTCAGTAGCTCTATTCTTAGAAAATGAGATAAACTGTTTGTTCCCAAAAGATTTTTTCTTTTTTTCTCCTTCCTTCCTTCCTTCCTTCCTTCCTTCCTTCCTTCCTTCCTTCCTTCCTTCCTATTTTCTTTCTTGTGAAGCAAGAGAATTTTTATTAAAACTTTAATACGTGTGCTCACTTTGGCAGCACATATACTAAAATTGGAATGATACAGAAAAAATTAACATGACCCTTTGCAAGAATGACAAGAAAAAAAAGAAAAAAACCCTTCAAGATGTGAGGGAAGTGAAAAGGAGAAGTACATGTTGGAGGGAAAACATAGGTTTCTCCAGAGTGGAAAAAGCAAGTGAAAAAACAGACAAGCAAGATATTCAAGGGAGAACATCAGCTGGAAGAGCAAGCAAGCATTCCCAAGAGATTTCTTAGTACTTAGCACAACTTTCATTTTAAGAGAAGCTTCTATACACATTACCTTTGAGAGTAGTTGTCATTGTTTAAATTATGTTTCAGTAATTTGTAAGGAATTTTTTTCTTTCCAAAGTGCTATATTCAGTTTCAGTAAGTAAACTGAAAGCTAATAAATGTGTAATAAACATGTTGAGTACATGAATAACTATTTACTTTAAAAGTTCAGTACTTAGAAGTGCTGGGGAAAATTATTAATCAGTTTATCAAACCTATTTACTTTGGTAGTCATAGCTCTGTTGATATCTTTAAGGAGTAATAAAGAAATACAAGAAATAGTCTTCAATTTTAAGAAAAGTCTCCACCCAGTGTTGGTGAGGTACTCCCACAGCCTACAAATAAAACTATAAATTATAACACCTTTTTTTTTTCTAGAATAAACTTAAGCAAACATTAAAGTACCTTAAAATGCACATCTCTTGGGTCAAGCAATTTCTCTATATATAAACTTATTTTAAACAGTAAGAATGAAACATTGGTTACAACATGGTAGGATGATGATAAATAATTGAAAATCCCCTAAATAATGAGTAATGAGATTGGAAAAATAATCATTTCTAGATAAATTGCACTTGATATGAAAATATGTTCACAATATGTTAATAATAAAATAAATATGTACAATATGAGAAATAAAGTATATGTAAAGTCACCTTAAAAACAAAAAAGAGAAATCTAGAGGGAAATGCAAGAAGACTAAAATGTTTATTAAAAAGCAGTATGATTATAGTTCTTCTGTTTGTCTTTTAGTAGCAAATTTCTTTCCTTTAATTAACAATTGTAATGTACTATAGCACTGTCCTCTCATTGTTCATAGATTTACTCGTGTGGTCCCTGTAAAGTCTCCATTGTGAGACTTGTCATTACTGTGTTTGGCATATCGAATTTGTCACAGGTAGCTTGCCAGGCTTTGCCATGCGGGTGAGATATTCTCAGTAGCTTGCCAGGCTCTCCAAGAGGGGTGGAGGAATTGAACCCAGGTTGGTCGGCCTCGTGTAAGGCAAATGCCCTATCTGCTGTGCTATGCTCCAGCCCAACAATTGTAATAGATGAACAAAATCAATATGTATGCAGTTAAGTATCTAAATTAAAATGTTGAGGGAAGTAACATAAAATTTATAACTTAAAATAAGTAAAGAATAAACTTTTATTTTAGAAGTGTTCTGTGCTTTCAAGAATATGTTAAGGAAAAATAAGAACATACAAAATAACCAACAAATAACTAAATAATTATTAGCTCTGATAAAGAATGTGAGTATAATAGAAACTGAGAAGAGAAACTGACTGGGTTTGGAGCAGGATAAGATGACTTTATGGACACTGTGAGACTTAACTGACAATTAGGATTTGAATATCAAAGAGAGAAACAGAGTCAAAGCCAGAAATATAATATGAGGCAAAGACTTTGCATGATAGAGATATCTTTTTTACTGCTTCCATTTAAACAATCTTCACCTATAAATGTATTTGTGGTTCTTTCAAACAAGTGGAATTTATAAAACCTACGTAATATTGAATACAGAATAGTGTATTACATATACTCTGTAGTGTTTTAAAGTTTTATTAGATATATTTTACAATTAGCCCTCTTGAAAGGTGTTTTATCTGCAAAATTGGTAGACCTGAACATTTCTAGATATTTACTCTGAACAAATACTAAGTATTATGCAAGAGCAGTTATCACAACTTGCAACCTCGTGAGTGTTCTGACGTCTGCGGTCATGCTACAATTGAATCCAGCCAATCGGAATTCAGCAATTCTCAATCTTATTCCAAAGTGCTGTTTTAAATTCAGCTTTGAAACTCAATTATTAAGTTACTATGAAGAATATTAGCTACATATACAAACTGAAAGTATATGGTTTGTATTTAGTATAATAATGCAAACTTTAATAATATACTTTAATAATAAAGTTTAAAAAGTTGTGTCCATCTTAAAAATGTCTACAACAGGACAGAACAATGTTTCTTTAATGTGGCTATATGGGAGACCCCAACATGAGACTTGAGTGCCAACCAGTAGGACAGAGTAATTCACAGGCAGGAGATAAGTCAGTAGAAGGCAAAGTAAGATGGAGATTATGGTCAGAAAAAAAGTTGAGGAAAAACTAGTGTGTAAGATGGGATGGAGACCAAGAAGTAAGTTTGGAAAGCCATAAAAAAGAGTAAATGATCAAGTCATATATACATTCTTTTCATCGAATCACAGTGAAATACACAGTCACAAAATTGTTTATGATTGGGTTTCAGTCCTACTATGTTCCAACGCCTTATCGCTTCATCAGTGCATGTTTCCCACCACCAACATTCCCAGTTTCCCTCCTGCCATCACCCACTCCCAGCCTGCCTCTATGGCAAGAATTTTTCTCCCCCACCTTTATTTTAGGCTTTATGGTTTGCAATACAGTTACTGAAAGATTATCAAGTATATCCCTTTACCTGGTCTGGAGTAAGAGCATAATGGGTAGGGCGTTTGCCTTGCACACAGCCGATTGGGGTTCGATTCCTCTGTCCCTCTTGGAGAGCCCGGCAGTCTACTGAGACTATCCTGCCTGCATGGCAAAGCCTGGCAAATTCCCCGTGGCATATTCGATATGCCAAAAGCAGTAACAACAAGTCTCACAATGGAGATGTTACTGGTGCTCGCTCGAGCAAATCGATGAACAATGGGAGGAGAGTGCTACTACATACTTTCAACACTAAGTTCCTGTCCAAAATGATCATTTTCAATTATTATCGTCATACTCATCCCTTCTCTCCTTCTCTATCCTAATTGCCCTTCTGCTCCCTCCTACCTCTCTCTCTCTCTATATATATATATTATATATATATATATCAATTTGCTTGAGTGGGCCCAGTAATATCTCCATTGTGAGACTTGTTACTGTGCTTGACGTATTGAATACACCACGGGGAGCTTGCCAGGCTTTGCCATATATATATATATATATATCTGTCCCTCTCCTTCTGACTCATTTCACTTAGCCTGAACCTCTTCTTGGCCATCCATTTATAAGCAAATTTCATGACTTCATTTTTTCTAACAACTGTATAGTATTTCATTGTGTGATGTACCAGTTCCTTTATCTAGTCACCTGTTCTCAGGCATTCATTTTGTTTCCAGGTTCTGGCTATTGTGAATGGTGCTACAGTGAACATAGAGGTGAAAATGATGTTTCTTCTGTGTGTTTTTGGCCCCCTGGGTATATTCCCAAAAGTAATATTGCTGAGTCAAACGGAAGCTCAATTTCTGTTTTTTTTTTTTGAGGAATGTGCAGATTGTTTTCCAAAAGGCTGGAACAATGAAGAAGAGTCCCACCAACAATGAAGAAGAGTCCCTTTCTACCTGCATTTGTGCCAGCACTGACTGGTTGCTCTTATTCTTTTGGATGTGTGCCAGTGTCTGTGGTGTGAGACAATATCTCACTGTTGTTTTGATTTGCATCTCCCTGATGATAAGTGATGTAGATTTTTTTTATGTGCCTTTTGGCCATTTGAATTTCTTCTTTGAGGAAGTTTCTGTTCATTTCCTCTACCCATTTTTTGATGGGGATGATCAAGTCATTTTTGAATGTGTCAACCATTCCCCAATTCTGAACTTTTGCAATAACCATCCTTTATGCTTTATGGGCCTATTCCTTTTTTTTCTTAATTCTTCCTATTTATTACAATTTGGTTGTCTCCTTTAGTTCAAATTCCTCTAGATGAAATTATTTGATCTGTTCAACTCTACCCTTTTCTCCTCCACTCAACATGTCATGATTGCTTGCACGTTAGTATCAGAACTTTTTGTGTCTGACTTTTTTGAAACTATGAATCCCTCAAAGAGAAGACACAATGTCTTGTTCATGTATGGAATTTATTCAGCACCTTGCATGGTGTCATTTACACAGGAAAAAATTCAGCAACATGTGCCAAGTAAAAGGATATGATACATGATTAAGGAATGTCTAACAACCTTTTGAAAAATAGACTGGAAAAATCAAAAGGCTGGTTTTGTTAGTCCAGGTACAAAGTCACAAGGAGTAAGAAAGGAGAGAAACTAAAGTACATTTGGAAATATTGGCAGGCATAGGTAACAAAGCAGACAGAGGCATGACAGAGAAGAATCCAAGGTGACTCCAGGGTACTAAACTGGAAGAATACTGAAAGTAGGGGACTGATGTACTTAGAAAATCATGAGGTAGATACTGAGTTGAAAGCATGGTGAAAATAGGCAGGGAAAATAAGTGGTGAGTTAAGGCTTTTATCATGTTGAATTTGCAGTCATGATAGGTCACTTAAGTGGATCTGTTCCTTTGGTTGCTGGAAATCAAGAAGTACATTGTTCTTAAGGTCTGTAACCATGTCTTTTTTAATAAAAAAGATCCCATCATTATCCTCTGTCACAGAGTGTAAGAACATTGGGTTGTCCTTACTCATCCCACAGCGCCCTGGGTTTATTGAGTTACTCCCATAACAGTGCCCCTGAGTCCCACCCAATTCCATCAAGCACTAATAATCCTATATTGCTTTTCTCTTTCCTTTCTGTCATTTGCATGGTTTATTTAGCAATGCCTTTTTCTTATAGACACAGTTCATGCTATGCTTTGTAACATGGGAGTTAATTGACTCCAAAATAATATTTATTACTGGGCATCCATATTTACTTGACTTAAGACTCAGTTGCCCTTAGTTCCTAGCACTCCAAAAGCAGAGTCCCAACAAAGGGACGGGATGGACCCATGACAAGCTGTAAGCTATCCTTGCATCAAAAGGAGACAGGCTAAGTGCCTTAAGTATATTAAGTTAAGAGCACAGTCATAGAACACA